TGTGACCACAGAGGTCATCACACACCCATGAAGCCAAGCCTGCTTCCAGGCTTCTGGTCCAGGTGCCTGGTCAGGTTGGGCAATTCCCAGAGATGGAAGAACCCAGAAGAAACTCATTTGGAGTGGAGTCAGAAGAGGAGAAAATGGGGAGTTCTGTTTGAGACCTAAGGGAGTCATTTCCAGAAGGCAAATGGTTCTGGGTCTGGTGCTCAGAAGGAAATTCAGGGCTGGGAGTCCACGGCACAGAGCATGCTGGTCACCAAAGTCCGTTCCAGGTCCAAAGTTCACTGCTGAGCTTGCCAACTGACCCCAGGTGGCATCTTTCCAGTTTCCTCTCTGGGTTCAGCCACTAGCTCCTCCTGCCTGCTGCCACCTGGATACCTGCTGCTTCTCATGGGAATGGCTGGCTCCCATTTCCCTGAAGTTCAAGAGGTAACTTTGTAAACCCTCCACCTCCCAGCCAGACCTATGCCCAGACCATCTCCGACACTGGCCCCAAGGCCCTATGTTCAAAGATCCTGTGGCCTGACAGTGTGCAAACTTCCCCCCAGACCTCTCCTCTGCAAGATCTCAGGAGACGTGGTCAAGCCTGTTCACGTCCTCCAGCCAAGAAGGAGGAAGCTTCGGCCCCAAATGCTAATCTGCCCTAGGCCTCCCAGCTGGGACTTGCCCTGGAGTTACAGCCCCATGGGAGCCCCACAGACTCCTGCCCCTTGTCGGTCCTACAGGAAGAGCCTGACTCAAGCATTCATTCATTCATTCAATAGATATTTATTTACTGAGAACATACTGTATATCAAATGCTGAGAACAGAGGGAGATGAGTAATTACACAAGTAATTAACTTCTGAGCACCTTGAGAAGGCTAAAGATAAAGGGGTGGGGCTCCAAGAGGAGCAATTCTGGTTTGGACAGGGCTGAGCCGCCTAAGTGTCCGTTCTTTGACCTGTAGATTTTCCCAAAGGTGGCTACTTCAATGCACTTTCCTGTCCTGCAAGCTCATCGTATGACAATGATACTCCTCCACTGAGGGATGATGTCCTGCCCTGAACCTGGGCAGACCCTGATCATATGGTAGAGCTTCCACTGAATGACTTCCCAGGCTAGGTCATAAAAGGCAATGTAGGGACTTCCCTGGTGATTCAGTGGTTAAGACTCCGGGCTCCCAATGCAGGGGGCACCAGGTTCAATCTCTGGTCAGCGAGCTAGATTCCACATGCTGTGTTATGGCCAAAAATAAAAATAAAAATGATGTAACTTCCACCTGGCTCTCTGGGGATACATGCCTTTGTAGCCTGGAGGGACTAGGAAGGAAAGCCAGCTGCCCAAAGTCACCGTGCTGGAGACATCATTGCAGGGAGTGAGAGGGGTGCTCACTTAGGTGCTGACAGGTGAGAGAAACCTTCAAGATGACCCTGATTCAGCCACCAGTGAAGAACCAACTCACTGGAAAAGACTCTGATGCCAGGAAAGATAGAAGGCAGGAGGAGAAGCGGGCAACAGAGGATGAGATGGTTGGATGGCATCATCAACTCAACGGACATGAGCTTGAGCAAGCTCCAGGAGATAGTGAAGGACAGGGAAGCCTGGTGTGCTTCAGTTCATGGGGTTGCAAAGAGCTGGACACAACTGAGCAACTGAACCACAGAAGCCACCATCTGTCTTCAACCTCATCAGAGACTGGAGTAGACTGCCCAGCTGAGCTGCTCCTGAATTCCTGATCCACAGAAACCCCAAGATAATACATGGTTATTTTTTATTTAAACCACTAAGTCTTGAGGTCCTTTTCTGGCAGCCACAGTAACTGGAATGCTGATGAAAGGTGGAAGAGGTGAGGACATGTGGACAGTAGTTTCTGGACAGAGAAAGCAGCATATGCAAAGGTCCTGAGGTGAGAAGGAAGTGCTGAAATGAAGGTGTGAAGGCTGGCAAGCTTTCCAAAACTCTTCTTTTGATTCTACCTGCATTTCTCCTGTGAATAGGTAATCCCATTTCCTCTCTGTGCAGAGCACCCTTCTGCGTTCGTGCAATTATGGGGCCCATGTCTACTTAATTAAGTAGGGGGGAGGGAGTAGGTAACATTCATTCATTCTTTTAACCAGTAAGATTAAATGCATTACCTGTTCCAGGAGCTTCCCTTGTTATCTCGATGCCTCTGTGTGTGTGTGTGTGTGTGTGTGTGTGTGTGTGAGCTAAGTCGTTTCAATCACATCCAGCTCTTTGTGACCCTATGGACTATAGCCCACCAGGCTCCTCTGTCCATGTGATTCTCCAGGTGAGAATACTAGAGTGGGTTGCCACGCCCTCCTCCAGAGGATCTTCTCGATCAAGGGATCAAACCCGCGTCTCTTAGGTCTCCTGCATTGGCAGGTGGGTTCTTTACCACTAGCGCCTCCTGGGAAGCCCATCTTCCAGTGTTAATGCTCCCTCCAGTGTATGGATGAGGAGGCCGAGGTTGAGAGGCGGTGTGCTCACGCACTGCCTTGACAGGTAAGTGGAAGGAAGTGGAATGGGTCCTGAGGCCAGCGTGGCTGGCCAGTTCTAGTTCCCGATCAAGTCCCTCCATAGTTTTTCTGTTTGTTTTAGGGTTTTGTTGTGTTGTGTTTTTTTTATTTGGAGTATAACTGCTTTGTAATATTATGTTAGTCCAATGAAGTGAATCAGCTATATGTATACATATATTCCCTCCCTCCTGAATCTACCCTCTAACCCCCCCATCCCAGCCCTCTAGGTCATCACAGAGCACCGGGCTGAGCTCCCTGTGCTATATAGCAGCTTCCCACTGGCTGTCTATTTTACACATGGTAGTGTGCATATGTGAATCCTACTCTCAATTTCTACTACCCTCTCCTTCCGCTGTTGAGTCTGTAAGTCTGCTCTCTGTATCTGTGTCTCTATTTCTGTCCTGAAAATAGGTTTATTTGTACCATTTTTCTAGATTCCATGTCTTGCAAATAGATGGGGAAACAGTAGAAACAGTGGCTGACTTTAATTTGGGGGGCTCCAAAATCACTGCAGATGGTGATTGCAGCCATGAAATTAAAAGACGCTTACTCCTTGGAAAGAAAGTTATGACCAACATAGACAGCATATTAAAAAGCAGAGACATTACTTTGTCAACAAAGGTCAGTCTAGTCAAGGCTATGGTTTTTCCAGTCATCATGTATGGATGTGAGAGTTGGACTATAAAGAAAGCTGAGCACTGAAGAATTGATGCTTTACAACTGTGGTGTTGGAGAAGACTCTTGAGAGTCCCTTGGGCTACAAGGAGATCCAACCAGTCCATACTAAAGGACATCAGCCCTGGGTGTTCATTGGAAGGACTGATGTTGAAGCTGAAACTCCAATACTTTGGCCACCTGATGCAAAGAGCTGACTCATTGGAAAAGACCCTGATGCTGGGAAAGATTGAGGGCAGGAGGAGAAGGGGACAACAGAGGATGAGATGGTTGGATGGCATCACCGACTCAATGGACACAGGTTTGGGTGGACTCCGGGAGTTGGTGATAGACAGGGAGGTCTGGCGTGCTGCAGTTCATGGGGTCACAAAGAGTCAGACACAACTGAGTGACTAAACTGACTGATGTCTTGTGTGACTTTGGATAAATCATTTTCTTCTCTGGGTTTCAGTTTTCTCCTCTGTAAAATGGGGAGGATAATACTCACTGAAATCAAGTCTCAGCTGGCACACTCCTAACAATAGTTGCCTTTACTCTGGGCTCATCTGTACCTGGCACTATGATACTTGAGACTTGATACTATGATACTATGATACTCATGAGACTTGAATTAACACACTTCTTCCTTGCAAGGTCGGAGGTGGTGTGACCCAGTTTTCAGTGGAGGCAGAGGTGGGCGAGCAGGGCTCCGTGAATGCTGGTGGCTGATGACCAGCTGCCTTGCCTTTTCCTGCCAAAGGAAATCACATACCTGGTTTCATGGTCTTAGTCCCCCAGATGAGCCCCTAGTTTGCTGCCGTCCCAAGCTAGTCCAGTTCAAAATTCCGTCAGGATTTGGGAAAACAAAGGGGAAAAAAAAATACCAGAAAGCCGGATAGGCCCCCACTCTGGGAAAACAGCAGAGAAAGGGGCCCAACCAATTCCTGGGCGTCCTCTGCCCAGCGACCAGGTCTCCCAAGGACAAATCTTTGCCCTCGTGGGGTTTATATTCCAGTAGGTTGGAGAAGGGGCGATACATAGTAACTACAACACTGACAACAACCAAAACATGTATTTGGCTCATGTATTTGTGCCAGCACTGCTTTGACTCATAATTTTACACCCTGTGAAGTGGATGGTATTAATATTATTTCTCAGTTCACCAAGACGAAAGAGAGGCACAGAGAGGTTAAGTGACTTACCTAAAGTCACACAGCTGATGAGTGGTGGAACCTGGATTTGACTCCGTAAACAGGTAAACAAGTAAATCAAAAATTCCTCTGTCCCCATGCCAAGAACTCATATACATTCCTCATGGATGATATGAGGTTTCCGCCTCAGGGTATGGAGGTTGAGAGAGGTGAAACTATCGGTACAAAGTCTCAGGGTCAGTGGTTGGGGAGGAGGATTTAGAGCTCACTGCCTCTAACTTGGGAGTTGGTCAAGGCACTGCTGTACCTCAGGCTCTTCTCCCCAAAATCTACTTGCCCATTCCAGCCAAAGGCAGCCCCAGCACAATCTGCCTCAAGACAAGAACATGTTCTCATTACTGTCACAGCCCCGGAGCCAGGGCCGCCCTAAGGTCCGGCACCCCTCCATGCCCCAAGGGAGAAGGGAGGATGGGAGCCTGGCTGCGGCGCCCACTTCCCTGGCCTTGCAAGGATTTTCTCTGTCTCTAGAAACAGATTGAACTGGCTGCCTCCTCCCCAGTCTCACCCCACTGCCCCCCTCCCCATTGCTCTGTCTAAGGTCACTCTGCTGTGTTCCAAGGCTAACACGAAATCAGAAGGGGTAGGTGGAGGGGGAGAAGGAGTAGGCGCTGGGGGCTGAAATTTGAGATCCCAGCCTTGCGAGGAGAGGTTGGAGAGAGACACGGAAAGACAGAGACAGAAAAAGAGAATTCAGTTGCCTTTGGTTTTCCGAAGCGGGCAGCTTGCGGGTTTGGGATGTGTGTGTGTGTGTGTGTGTGTGTGTGTGTGTGTATGTGTGTGTGTGTGTGTCTTGTTTTCTTTCCTCCCCTCTGGCAGGGAGGCCAGGCCTCCACTGGATCATAAAAGGACTCAGAGGCGAGGCAGGCAGAGCCAGCCAGTGCAGGGAAATAGCAGCAGTGTGTGGACACGCATGAGGAGGCAGGAAGGGAAAGGGGGAAGAATAGAGGTGAGGGGGTGGCCAGGGGCGGGAGCGTGCAGCGGTGGGAGGAAGCGGAGCAGCTGTGGTATTTGGAGCAATTATAAATAGCCGCCTGGACAGAGCTTGGCCAAACAGGGCTTTGCAGCTGCGGCGGCTGTGCAGGCAAGCCTGGCCACTGTTGGCCAACGGCGGGTGCAAACAGTGCGCAGAGATAGGTGGCAGACAGGCCCAGCCCCGGGGCTCTGACTCGACACCCCTCACCATCGCCACATCTCTGGATGCCCTCCCGACCAGCCATGCTGCTGGGTGGCCTCCTCCTCATTGTGGCCTCTACAACTATGGCCCAGCAGAGGGGGCAGGAAGCCGCCGGGAGCCGCCAGGCCCACCGAGTCCAGCAGGGCCAATGCAGCTACACCTTCGTGCTGCCAGAGCCTGAGCCCTGCCCATCCGAGCCTGAGGTCTTCAGGGTCTCTAACAGTCCCCAGAGGGACTCCCAGGGGGCTGCACTGAACCTAGGAGAGTGGTCAAGACAGCGGATTCGACAGCTGGAAAAAATGCTGGAGAACAACACGCAGTGGCTGCAGAAGGTAAGGGCTGGGTCTGCAGGGCGGTGAGGGCAGCGAACAACAGGTGGAGCATCTACCCCAGAGCCCTGCCCTGGACACAGATGACCAGGCTAATAGGGCCCTTGTCTCTGAATTGTACATATTGGAATGATGAGGCCCAGAGAAGGGGCAGAGATGAGCCTGAGACCACACAACGAGACTGAGAGAAGTCAGAACTGGAAACCTAACTCCCCAACTGCCATTCATTCATCCAGTGTGGACAAGTCCCGTCTTAGGAGCAGCAAATGCAGCAATAAGCAGAAGAGTACATTCCCTTCTGGACCAGTATAGGAAAGAGACAATAAAGGGATGAACAATATGTACTCTGTCAGAGGTGAAGGAAAATGAGAAAGGGAAAAAGGCAAGGAGTGACAAGAGGTGGCTATTTGAAGTCAGATAATCAGAGAGGATGGGCTTCCCCGGTAGCTCAGACGGTAAAGTGTCTGCCTCCAATGTGGGAGACCCAGGTTCAATCCCTGAGTCGGGAAGATCCCCTGGAGAAGGAAATGGCAACCCACTACAGTATTCTTGCCTGGAGAATCCCATGGACTGAAGATCCTGGTAGGCAGTCCATGGGGTCACAAAGAGTTGGACATGACTGAACGACTTCACTTCTTCACTTCAATCAGAGAGGATTTCTCAGAGGAGGTGACATTTGAGACCAGAGAACAAGTGAAGTGATGGAGCGACCTGGGAAGGTTTCTGGGGGGAGGCTATTCCCAGCCAAGGGACCAGCAAGTGCAAAGGCTGTGTGGTGGGAATGTAGTTGGGGTACCTGGGGAACAGCAGCATGGCTGGAACAGAGAGGGAGGGCGACAGAGGGTTGAGGGACAAAATCCAAGAGGTGAGGGGAGAGCAGACCGTGTCAGGCCTTGAGGGCCACTGGAAGAACTTTGGCTCTTCCTCTGAACTTCACAGGTGCCATCGCAGGGTTTTGAGCAGGTGAGACACACCTGAGTTAGTTTTAACAGAATAGACTATAAGGGACAGATTTGATGCTGGGAGCCCAAGGAAGAGACCGCTGTAGCCATCAGGCAAGAAGTGATGGAGGCGCGAAGCAGGACAGGACAGCAGGAGGGGGTGTGGCCAGTCAGATTCTGGTATATTCTGAAGGGGAAGCTAATGGGCTCTGCTGATGAACTGGATATGGGGTGGCAGAGATGAGGGGGCTGAGGACCCCAGTGCCATTTTGACCTGATGCCGGAGCCACTCTAGGGTCCCCTGTCCTCATTCTTTCAGCAGATTTTCTGAGCATCTGCTGTGTGCCAGGCTCTAGGCAAGAAACCGAGGTGAACAGAGCAAGTTCAACCCTAGGTGGAGTGAGGAAAGCATCCTATGATGTCCAAGATGGGGAGCAGTCCCTCTTTATCCCATGGTTCAAATTGTTCAAACCATTTGCCGGGTCAGCAAACAATGTTTTGCTCCCCCAGTACATGCATATTTATTTAGTATTTGTGCACCCTATTAATATAATATGTACAGGGTATGACACAAGTGAAAACTTTGAGAAGATAACATGAAATCACATAAATTAGAGTTCCAGTGGCTTCCTCCTGTTTTCTAAAGGACGGCCTTTTGCATACCCTGGGTTGACCATCTCCCAGGTGGAGAGTTATACTTATCTAACCAAGCTGATTTGTGCACATACTCAAATACACACTTAAACTCCTGTTTCATTCCTGCCCTGACCATCTATCTCCTCAGCCTCCTATTCACCACCTTCCCATAGTCCCTGTCTACTTGCCCCTCCTACCTTGCAACAGTTACAGCTGCCACCATCCTACTCTTAGGTCCCCCCTCAAGGGAGCTCTTGGCCACATACACTGGATCACAGAGGGCTCCATGCTGCCTGAAATCTGTGTGTCTTCTGGCAGCTGTTTCCAGTCCTGTAAGGGTCATGCCAAGCCTCGTCTCCTCCTCAGCCTCCATTTCACCATCCTCTCACCAGACCACGGATCTCCTACTTCAAAGTATGGGGCCTACCCCACACTTGCAGATTCACCTATGCACCCACCAGTCCCCAGGGCCTTTCTCTAGCTCATGGGCCAAAGTCACTCTTTCACACCTGTGGGTCGCACCCTCTGCAACCCCTGAACCTCCTCAAACCAACCATTCCTCCTGTGTCTCTAACAACTCCTCCCTTTAGGCTGTTCCTTCCCCTCAGTCTTTAGTTGCATTTCCCGTGTTAAAGAAAGAAAGAAAGAGGAAGGGGAGGAGGAGGAGGAGAGAGAACAAGACCCTTCTCCAGCCTATACCTTCTGACTTCTGGCCTGGCTCTCAGAAGTGTACGAGCTCTGCCTCCGCTTCCTCCTCCATCCCATCCTTTCCCTAAGTAGCCTCCCACTTCCCATTTCCTACATCCAGTGGCCACCACTCAGTCTTCATCTTACTTGACCTCTTGGCAAATTTAGTATCGCTAATCAATACCATCCTTCCAGAAACTGTCTCCATCAGCCCGTCCTCATCTACCACTCTGACTGCTTTCCCTACCTCCATCCTGGACCAGTCACCTCCATCTTCTACTTGGATGGCCATCACAACTGCTGTCCTAGGCTCCATTTCCACCCAGACCCTAATAGTCCATTCTGTATTCAGCAGACAGAGTGGTCCTGTTAAAACCTAAGCTAGGTTAGTTTCTCCTCAAAACCCTCCTGGGGCTCCCACTCTCTTTAGTTATTCTTTTACTGAGCAAAAATCCTTGGTAGCTGCAACACCCCTCACCCAGACATGTAAGTAGCTCACTCCTGACCCACCTCAGGTCTGCTACTTAGACTTCACCTCCTCGGAAAGGCCCCTCCTGTCCACCACTTTTAAAATAGCCACCCTCATTATGGTCCTTTCACCCAGCTTTGGTTTTCTCCCTTAGCACCTACCACCACTTGTTCTTAAAAACATTTCTTTTGGTCTGTGAGCTCTAAGAAGATAGGGGCCACGTCTGTTTTGTTTGTTACTGGGTTCTCAGGGCTTAGAACAGTGCCTGGCACATAGTAGGTGCTCAATACATGTCTGTTGAATGGCTGGATGCACCATGGTCCTCCCATCTCTCAGGCCATTCCTGCTCCTCCCCTCCTCCTGAAACGTCGCTGTTTTCCAGGGCAGAGTCTGTTTGTTGCTTCCTCTCACAGTTTGTGGCACAACCCCCAGGGCTGCCCCCACCTCTAGCACTCCCATAGCACCATCTCCTCCTGCTCCATGATGACACCAAACCAACATCTGTGGGGCTCCCGACCTCCCCTCTGAGGGCTCACAGGTTCTCAACTCCAAAGCTGCCTGAAACTAAGATCTTCCCTCCCACCCCCCACCCCACCTATTCTGCTGAAGGTAGTACCACCCAGCCAGCAGGTCATCTGTGGCCCTGGGGTGTCCTTAACCCTACCCCACTCCCAGGCAGCAGGTCCTATCCATCCTGTCCCCTCAGCTTCTCAGCTCATCCTCCTGTCTTCCTCACTGCCCTGGCCCTTGTCACCTCTCTCCTGGACACTGCTCTCACCTTCCACCTGCTTTGTCTACCCCAAGCCTCACCCTCTCATCCCTCTTCAACTCCCCTGGGTCCCTGGTGCTTGGATAACATTGGTTGAGCCAGATGATAGATTTAAACCAATGGGTTTCAGGTTAGGAGGTCACCCAGCTCACCTCTTCATCTGGCAGTCGAGTGTCCTCTCCAAATAGCTGTCCACATAGCCTGATAATCCCGGGCAAGGCTCACCATGGAGCCCTGTGGGGTTCAAGAGTTCCCATGTGGAAATCAGGTGGATCTGACTTTACATCCCAGCCCCAGCACTTACTTGCCATGTGGCTGTGGATGAGCAAAGCTCAGTTTTCCCTTCCTTGAAGTGGAGACAACAACAGTATGGTAGAGGGTTGGCTGCAAGGATCAGTGAGACCACTAACTCACCCCTCTCAGCTGCATGGGTAACTCACCTGGGCAAGGATGCAGTAGCTGAACCAGCTATTAGTTAATTCAGCATCATCTCTATAGGAGCCCTGCACCACTGGTCCTGGTCAAGTTAATCCAAGGGTGGCAGCTAACTTGGGGCAGGGAGTGTCACTTGTCCATACTGGTGTTCTCTGCGGTCCCCAGTCCTACCCGATCTCTACTGGGGTCCAAGCAGAGGTTTGTCCTGCCATCTCCTGAGTGTGCTTGGGTTGCGTGTTCCCTTCAGGCCATTTGGTCTTTGGGTCACCGCCAGGTCAGCCTGTGCCAGTGGAGCCTGCCCCAAGGTCAAACCCCATCAGCAGTCACTTTTCTCTGGGTTCCTCTTTAGGCAGCAGCATAGCCTGGAAAGTGAGAGCCCCAACTCCGGAGCCCAACTTTTTTAATTCGAGGCTCAATCTGCCCTTTTCTGACTGTGTAACCTATGGCAAGTTGCTTCACCTCTCTGAATCTCTGTTTCCTCACCAATAAAATGCAATGCCAACACTACCTACCTCTAAGAAGGTTTACTGAGATAACGCACATGAAGTCCTTGGCCCAGAACCTGTCATACAGTAAATTCTCAATCAATGTCGGCTGTTTCCATGAGGAACTCTCCTTGGAAAGAAACACAAATCCCGAAATTCTTGAGTCCTTCCTTCCCCAGATAAGACACAGGGCCACTGGCTCAGGGGTATGAGGCACCTGAACAGTCATCTCTCTCCCTCCAATCAGGAATACTTGCTACCTTGTGACCATGACCTTCCTCTGGTTCTTCTCTCATGCATTCTCTTAGTCTGGGCTTATCTCAGAGTCTTTGAAACTTGAGGGCCTCTTTTTGGCTTCTGCTACAATCTCTCAGAAGAGAGAAAAAAAAAAAGTTTTAAAATAGTCTCATCACCATTGCCATCAGGGATGACTGGGGAAGACCGGCCTCCCAGACCGAGCTCTCAGCAAGTTTCATTCAGCTGGGAAGTTACAGAGAAGAGCCTCCCTCCCTCGTGTCCCCAACCCCTCTCCCTCTTTCCAGTCCAGTGTACAGATGAGCAAACTCAGAGGCCAGAGAGGG